CATCACTTGGCTTGTTATTTGTAGATCATAGCACCTTAAAGTGGTTGTAAACCCTTACATACAGAAAACCCAGTGAAATGAATGTCCTGATACACAGAGTTGAAACCAGTCATCCTATGTAAGTTGTACCTGGTTATCTATAGCCTTCTGTCCCCTATATCCATTCAAAGTGCAGAATTTACACATGATCTCTCAGCTGTAAAAAAACAAGGGGATGGGATCAAAAGATACATTAATGAGGCAAGCTCTGAGAGCTGATTGGAGGGATACACCCCCTTCACAGCAAACAGGAACAGAGCTGAGGCTGTCAATCACAGGCTGTGCCCACCCCTGTCACCATTTTTCTCTTAGTACCAGGAAAATTAATCGGAAGTGATTCATGCTGATAGCAGAGGAAAGAGGCAGCAGACAGAAATGACACTTAGTGCTCTAGATTGAGACACGTACACACTATGAAGGGATATATTTTTTGTTCATATTTCATGTCTGAAGTTTACAACCACTTTAAATCTGTGATTATTTGATGTTATTACAGGTAAGGCAGTGTATAAGCTCCTGGAAGTGCCCATTAACTAGTATAATTGGTCCCTATTTTTCCCTCAACAGAGGTTTACTTTTAATTAATCATTTGACTGCCGTTAACAAAAGCACAAAGACTGCCATTTGAAATTCCATTTCTACATTCCTGTATATATGTTTTAACGCATGAACGAAAATAAAACCCATCTAAGTCACAAAAATATTACAAGGCACAAAAGAAAGGGAAGGAAGCCGGGAAATAAGAGTACGGTGCGCCTAGTTTGCATTAGCGACCAGGAGAGAAAAGGTAATTTATTTTGCTGGGTGTCAATGGGCCATGACATGAAGGAGTCTGTCTCTTTGTAGCTATGATTGGTACGGTGCTGCAGTTTATCATTATGGATTGGTTACACCACCAGGCCCAGCGCAGTAAGAAATATAATTTGTCTAGCTTCAAATAATAAAATATGGGAGCTGGTATGGCGCTGTTCTGTCGATCGAAAGGAGAAAATATATTGGAAACCGTAAAGATGCTTTTACAGGATTCCTTTAATGTGTGCACAAGTAATAATGGTAATGACTGTGTCTACTTGTGCAGAATTAAAGAGCACCTGTTGCTAAAGTAGCCGCTTTGTCAGCTAAACAAACCATTGTCAGTCTCAGTATTTCATTATTTTAACAATTTAGGCTTAATATTGAAAGCTTTACACAAGGTTTATATCAGGCTCATGTTGATGGGCATTAGCTTTTTTGCGTTTGAAGTGTGATAGGAACTCATAAGAAATGCAGGTCAAGCTCTCAAGATCTCCTTGGCTGTCACCAGCATCCCAAGGGTCTCCATACTGGGTCCAAAGCTTTATTAAGTGATCGCATCACTGTAACAGAAAGCAAGGTTTTAGAGCTTTGCAGGGCCCCTTCCATCATGCCTGATGTCCTGCGAGACTCCAAAACCTTGCTTTCTGTTACAATGATGTGATCACTTAACCCCTTCCGGCTCTTCTATTCTAAATGCCAGGTGGAGGCGGCGGCATTTCGATAGTCACAGCGGTCACATGATCAAAAACGCTCCCAATTGCAAGTATGCGCCGGTTACTGTGTTGGAAGCACGCAGGGAACGCACTCTCAGCACAGGAAAATGTTTAAATAAGGACGCATACTGTATATGCGCCGCTTGACGTTAAAACTCATCTGCTAAAAGGGTGCATAGATGAGTACCTCCAGCGGGAAGCGGTAATAAAGCTTTGGACCCGACCTGGAGATCCATGGTTTTCTGGTGACATACTTTTCACATTGAATGTCCTCAGTTCCCAGCTGGTGGTCACTTCAGCGCCCACAGCCATTTCACAGGAACGTGTGCGTTGGGAATAGTGTGTTGGAATTCCTTGATTTTAAATGGTAAGTTCACCTTTATTTACATTCCCAAAAAGGTCCCCATATACCACAGTGTCCTGAATATATTAAAATGCCCAAACAAATGCCCACCTTTTTAGTTGCTGACATCATTGTCCTCTAAAATCCATCCTGCAGATGGGAAAATGCAACCAGCACTGGATACGCGGCCTTAGAAATCAATGAGCAAGCACTTCCAGCCTCCCTCCCCACTTGCTTTTGCACAGTCCACTCTCCTTTACATTCAGAACATTGCTGAGCAGTGCAAGAGAGCAGATGGCATGTGCACTGGTGGGGAAGGAGGCCAAGCTCTTTTTAATTCATGGAAGCTATAGTACCGATTCCATAAGTGGAGGAGTGGGGGTGACATAGTTGCCACTCTTGATGTGTGCCTGTGATGGGTTTAGTGCTCATATTAACTCCTGCGGCCTCTGAAGATTGTGGCTGCAGGGGTATGGGGGGTATAGGGCTTTTGAATTTCAACTAAAACTGTCCGCACCAATACAAGGGAAACTTAATAAATGTAAGTACTGTCCCTTGTACTGATGTTTGTTTTTTTTGTTTTTTATTTTTACCTAAACTATTGTTATTAGTATTATTATACAGGATTTATATAGCGCCAACAGTTTGCTCAGTGCTTTACAATACAACAGGAGACAATACAGTTCAGTACAAGAGGGTTAGGAGGGCCCTGCTCCTTGGAGCTTACAATCTAAGAGGAGTTATGCAGGAATTACAAAGCAAAATTGGAAATATAGTACTGTGGTTAGGAGTCTATGCCAAAGATTTGTTTCACTGTGTATATTTGCAATTCCCCCAGGTATATAGTGAACAAGTAAACTAGAACTTACTATCTGATGTGCAGACTCCCTCCCCAAAGACGCCTATGCTCTAATGATCCTTCAGTCAGTGGTGCAGGTAATCCCCTACCTCTCTAACATAATTGTTATACCAGCAGAGCAAATCAGAGATCCACATTGAACCTCTAGTGACCAGAGAACATCCATGTTGGTTGTAAACCCAGATTCACATGAACCAGTTCACTCTTTCCTATATCCCTCTGGTCTAAAAACAGGTCCCTGAGGGCCAGTTGTCTTTGCGCTCCTCCATGCTATGCACATCGGCCCACCATGATCAAAATTACAGGGTCCAGTGACTGGGGTATTCACACTCCCGAGTCGTAGAGAAAGTTTTGTATTTTGTTCTTTCATTGCAATGTATCAGTTGATTATTGCATACAATATACTGACATTGTAGTTATAGGCAGTACTAATATACAGTTATAGTATGAGCTGTGCACAACCAGTGGACCTGTTACTGTTATATAGCTAATACAACACATAAGCTTTGAGGATCAAGCTGATCCATACTTCGGCTATTTTCTATAAATCCATGTTATGCCTGCAGCTTATAGACTCTGGCCACCTGAATCTGACACAGTAGCACAATACACATGTAAGGAACTCATTTCTGCTAAATCCCACAGGTTTAACATAGCCAGCTAGAAAAAAATATATATAGCTTTATATCTGGCGGAAACATTAATGTTCCACTACAACTGAACTATACCTCAATCATCTGGGACACACATTTTCTTTTTTTTTTAAAGGAACATACATTTTTTTAAGACATATATTGAAAAGAGATGTAAATAATCTTATCAATGTAGGTTAAAACCTATGTCTGGTTCTAGAACCCACCCACCCTTGCACCAAAAAAAAAATTAAAGGGGAGATAGTAAAAAGTAAGAAAAAGAAGTAGACAGGAACGAGGAAGGCAAAGGGCCAAATCAGGAAACATCAAGGCACGGAAATGTATTGAATCCACGGGTCCCATGTTTTATCAAATTTGTTAGTATCATTGTGTAGAATACAGGTAAGTCTGTCATTAATCATGATCCAATTCAATTTGTTCTTAACATACTCAAGCGATAATCAATCTCTTCCAATGTCTAGCAATAATGATTTTCGCTGCCAACAACATATAAGTGAGCAATTTAAGGGATTTTTTGGAACCGTATTTGGGAATTTATAAAAAAGGAACGTCTCTGAGGATCTACGAACTTTCACTCCCGTCACCGTGTAGATAAAGTTAAACATGTGGATCCAAAATCTGGTTGCTATCGGATATTGCCACCAGACGTGATACATAGAGCCCATCTGGCTGCAACTCTGAAAGCACATCTTTGAGACAGATGGATGCATCCTCACAGTCCTGGTTGAGACCAAATACCATCACAAAAGTGTTTTATAATTTTCTTCAATTAAGGTGGTATTGATGGAAACTTTAGATGATGCCAAGGCTATGTCTTGCCAATCAGATAGATCGTAATTAACATTCAGGTCCCATTCCCATTGATCCATATAGGGAAGTTTACAACTAGGATCAGTAAGAAGGGTGTACACTGTAGAAATACAGCCACTAGAGAAATTTTTATTCTGGCATGAAAGTTCGAAATTGGTAAAAATGGGTGGCCCATCTAATAATTTCCGAGCGGATAAAAGAGATGATTTGATTGTATCTAAAGATTTTGGTAGGAGGCATCTGCAATTTCTCCTTAAAATGTTGAAAAGAGTAAATCCGGTCACCCTGGAGGTAGTCTCCTATCCGCTTTTTGATCCACCATTGGAATGGGGCCAGAACTAGACCAGGAACAAATTCAGGATTACAAAAAACAGGTGCTAAAGGTGTGTGCGAAGAAGCTAATGGTTAGCGATGGAGTACTCTATCCCATACTGTCAATGAGAAAGACAGAATGGGACATAATATAGGAGGGAGAGATCGATTAGGGAGCCAAAGTAAGGAACTGACCGCTAAAGGATGGCAGGAGAGAGCTTCAATAGAAACCCAGAGGGGAGCAGATCCTTTAGCACAGGGCTTAAAATTTCAAGTCCTGAGCTAATAGCTAGGCCTTAAGAGTTACTCACAACCAACAAACACACACAAACAGAGACACCTGTACACACACACAGACATGTACATGCACATACACACACAGAAAAATATGTACACACACGCACAGAGACACGTACACACACACAGACACATGTATACACACACAGGCACATACAGACACGCATACACACAGATACATGTACATACACAGAAATACACACGCACAGACACATGTACATACACGCAGACACATGTACATACATACACAGACACATGTACACACAGACACATGTACGTACATACACACATGTACATGTGCACACACACAGACACATGTACACACACACATACATGCAGACACATGTACAGATACACACATGTATATACACACATGTGTACATACACACAGACACATGTACATGCATACACAGACACACACACACACACGTACACACACAGACACACACACACCCATACAAAGTTGCAATACTTCGTTGTTCACTCACAGAACCGGGTACTGCACTCTAGGGGGAGGCAGAGAGCACAGCACACACTCCTTCCTTTGCTTTCACTGCGCTCAGCTATTGAGCAGTCTGACGGCTCCCAGTGCCAATGATAGATCCGGCCTGAGCTCCGAGCCTGCTCAGCAAGACGGCCCTGGGGGACACACTCGCCCCCACCATAATTTCCACTTGTCATTGGTGAGCAGGTGAGTGGAAATTTCAAGGCCTGCTTTAGCGGTAGTATAGGCCAATTGAGCAATTTGGGCAGCTTGGCCAATCCCACCTTGCGATCTTAAAGCGAATAGCGTCTTCTGGTTCATTCAAGGCCTTCTATTGTTCCAAATGAAATGAAGCACCTCAGCTTGTAGGTGTTGTAACTCACGTCTCAGAATTGTTATCGGTAAGGTCCTAAAAAAATATAGCAATCAGGGCAAAAACGTCATTTTAATCAAATTTATCCTGCCAAACCAAGATATAGAGTAAGCAGCCCAATGAAAAAGATCATCTTTAGGTTGTTTAGGGGGGGATAGTTCGCTTGCTATAGGGTCTCAATAGAAGCAGTCAAATTAATCCCTAAATAGGGCAAGGAATTGCATGTCTATTGAAAATTATATGTAATTCTAAGCTGTTGTTCTATAAAAGAGGGTAACGAAACATTAAGGGCTGTCGTTTTATGAGAATTTAAAGAAAGCCCAGAAAGGTCAGAGAAGTGGAGCAAAAGAGATAGTAGATTAGGTACGTAGTCAAAGGGGAGTTAATATACATAAGGACATCGTCAGCAAATAAAGCACACTTATGTTCCTGACGTCCACAGTAGATTCTGGGATGAGAACGGATCGCCATAGCTAAGGGTTCTATCTCCAATGCAAAGAACAGTGGAGAGAGTGGACAACTGTCAGGGCAGGAGCCGAGGAACGGACAGGCAGGCCTAACAATGTAACGCACTGGCTGACGACAACCACCACCCACAGACCGAAGTCCCTCAGGGCGCGGAGTCTAAGTCCCAGGCTGCCCTTCACCAGGGCCCCTGATGGTGGGGATGGACTTGACGCAGCCAGGAACCAGGTCGCGGCCCCCGAGACACCTCAGCTGCGGTAATGGCCGCCGCCAATGGCGTGTAGCTGGTGGAAGAAACAAAAGAGTAGTCAGACAGGCCGGGGTCAACAACAACAGGACAAAACAGTACAGGACAGCAGACGAGAATCACAGGTCACGAGCCGGGTTCAGCAACAGAGGGTCAGATCAAAGGAGAATACAAAGAATAGTCAAGTCACAAGCCGAATCAGAATACCAGGAGAGTCACGAGAGTCAGAACAGAGTAATAGTAACACCAAGACACAAGCCACAAGTGCAAAGAGCATGTGCGGGCCACTGGCTTATATGTCATCAGCCACGCCCCTCTGGGGGGTGGACCTCAGAGACCTGAAGGCATAAAAAGGATTCCCATCACGCACAGCAGAATCCAAGATGGACACCAGCACATGGAGTAACATAACCTCAGGGAAAAGGTAGGACCTTGACAACAACCTTGTCTAGTGCCATGTCGAATTGGGAACACGGAAGATCTATAGCCTCTAATGGAAACTTGAGCCAATGGAGTATTGTATAGTGACTGCAATAGCGTGAGAAATGCAGGACCTAATTCGAAAGCTTGCAAAGTAGTAAACAAATAGTCCCAGGTTAAACTATCAAACGTTTTATGAATGTCAAAAGAAAGAAGTTATAACTCTCTCTCGAGTGAGGGGGGCATACCATTTAGAGCGGGCAGCGGAAATCAGAGAGATGGACTGATGAATCTGATCCAACGTTTGTCGACCAGATATGAAACCCGATTGTTCTTTGTGAGCATATTGTGCCAAAAAGGAATTAAGACGCAGGGCCAAACGTTTCATCAGAATTTTCAGGTCACAATTAATGCTTTGTTTTCATCTGAAGGGATAACATCATCCTCTCTCAAAGAATTGAAGTAAAGGGCTATATGAGGAAGAAGTTGTTCAGAAAATGTTTTATAGTAAATATTTGGTAAACCGTTGGGGCCTGGAGATTTATGCGACATTAGCATTTTAATAACTTTGCTAAGCTCCTCACTAATGATAGGTTGCTCCATAAGTTCCTTGTGGGCCTCGGCAAGAGATGGAAGCTGCAAGAACCCCAAAAAATCTTGAAGCCGAGAAGGTTCAACAGGCTGGGGTTGACTGTATAAAGTAGCTTAGAAATTATGAAATTCCCAAAGGATCTTCTGAGGATCATGTGAGATATGACCCCCGAAAGCCTAAGCTTAGGAAGCGCCGAATAGGTATGCTTGGGGGAAAGTTTACGTGCTAAGAGAGAACCTGGTTTGTCTCGCCATGTGAAAAATGTATGGTTCATCCTATGTAGCTGTTTTTCCGATTTCGTGGTAAGACAGAGATTAAGTTCTAAACGAGCTTGCTCCACCTTACGTAACAAGTCCGGAGTTGGGGAAATTTTGTGTTGGGCTATTAAATCCTCATACTCCCTAGTTTTGGCAGAAGTCAAGTCTTCGTGGGACCGTTTAAGTCTAGAGGATAGTTGGATAAAAAAACCTCTGATAGAGGCTTTATGAACTGCCCAGTTAATAGCAGGGGTTGTATCTTCCGCTTTATTAATGGTAAAGTAAGAGTTCAAGTGTTCCACTACTTCGAGATGGATAGACTCATTGCTAAGAAGGGACTCATTCAATCGCCACTGTGGCTAGGCCAAGTTGGTAGTTAAATTAGAAAGCGCTAGCATCGCAGGGTCATGGTCTGACCAGGGTGTTGGCACAATTGTAGCTGAACATAATTTGGATAGCATCTCTGTAGGAAGAAAGCTGTGATCTATAAGCGAATAATGATTGTGAGCTATAGAAAAATGAGAATAGTCTGTAGAGGTAGGATTGGCCTCTCTCCACACATCTATCAAGTTACAGCGATAGAAAAGTTGTGAAAATTTGCAACTTTGTTTGGGAGGGGATATAAGTTTGGTTGCATGCGATTTATCAAGCATTTGGTCTAAGGCTAAATTTGAATCCCCCGCTAAAATGACATCGCCTTCCAATTAAGGAGATAAAGATTAAAACAGGGAAAGAAAAAAAAGCTACCTGAATCACGTTAGGGGCGTAATCAGAAAAGTCACTAGATTTCCCCCTAAATGGCCTTTGACTAATAGAAATCGCCCTTCCTTGTCTCATATCACTTTAATTTCTGTAAATGACAGCCGTCGAGCTAGACAGAGTGCTACCCCTTGTTTTTTTATCAGAAGTGTTAGGGAAAAAGCATACAGGGAAGTCCCTATGAATATACCCCTTCTCAGCCAGTGACATTAGTACAGTGACAGTGTATATTATTAGCACTGATCACTTTATTAGTGTCACTGGTTCCCACAAAATATCAGTTAGTGTCAGATTGCTTACCATGCAGTCCAGACATAAGTCGCTGATCACTGCCATCACTAGTATAAAAAATAAATAAAAACTTCAATATATATACACCATAGTTTGACACTATAACACTTGCACAAACCAATTAATATATGCTTATTGTGATTTTTTTTCCCCCAAAATATGTAGCAGAATACATATTGGCCTAAATTTATGAAGAAATGTGATTTACCCTTTTATCCCCCAAGATCAATGGTCTGTCTACAAACTGCAGCCCAGGAGCCCACATCTGGCCCTTTGCTTGCTTTTCTCCAGCCCTTGGGGCACCATTCCTCCCACTGACACCAACAAAGGGGTATAATTCCTGCCACTGATACCAACAACAGGGCACTATTCCTCCCACTGACACCAGCAATGGGGTACTATTCCTCTCAGCGATACCAACAGTGGAGGAATATTCCTCCCAATTATACCAATGATGGGGTATTGTTTACTCCCATTGACACTGGGGAATTTTCTTCTTTTACTGGTCACAGACCAGCCCCCTCAAAGTCTGAAGGACAGTAAACTGGTCCTTTGCTTAGAAAATTTGGAGACCCCTGTTTTATACAAAGACACTTATTCTCACAGAGGTTGTCCTAAAAAGTTTACTAAAGTGTGGTCAAAATGGCTTCAATATAACTCCACTACTAGTATGTAAACTGCCTTTGGTTGAGGGGTAGCATCTTATTGCTATTTTTATGTATTGTGAGCCACACACAAAGTAATTGGAGGTAGCGATCCGCTCGCGTACCCATAGAGAGGTCCCTGTGTGCCAGCTGTGCCAAGCGTGTCATAGGTTCACCATCGCTGTCCTAGACTGAATTGTTGGTGACAACACAAAGTTTGGGTTGTCACCAGAAGAGAGATATTATGGAAATCTATCAATGTCGACATTAGTTCTGGTGACAGCCAGGGATTCCCTAGCATTGGAGGGATTTCCTCTCACTTCCTGTTGTGGCTGTGGGACAGGAAGTGAAGGGAAGTCTCTTCAATGGGATACAGATGGCAAAAATAAAACTGTCAGGAGTTATAACCCTCCCTTACTGTCTTCAAAATGAAATATAAAATGCTTTTAGTTCTTTTTTTACACGGGGAAGGGGGAGAGGGGTGATGGTCATCTTTAATTTGTTGGCACTATAAATACATAATAAATATATACCTCCCAACTTTTTGCATCAGCAAACGTTTGTAGGAATAGGGCACACACCCTGCCACGCCCCCTTAAAGGAGAATTACACGAAAACTTATTAGTTAAACACAATTGTGCTTTTTTTTTAACCACTACTATTCCTTTATATTGGCTTTTGAAATTTACCAATGCAGAAATTTTAGAAACTGGATGAAAGGTTTAGCCCTGTGAAAAACCTTTTGAAAGATAAATAGCGCATTTTATATACAACTATATAGATCAGATCGAAATGAGGGACAAGTGAGATGGAAAGAGGGACTTTGTTCCATATCAGGGACAGTCCTTCTAAATCAGTGGCAGTTGGGAGCTACGTAAATAAAAATAATAGAGAAATGTACTAGTATTACAGTTAATCTACGTGTATTCTATTTGTGTTTACAGTTTACTTTATTTTTTATATATGCTGAATGGTTCAAACTGTATGCAAAAAAGGAAGAAAAAACACTAATTCAGTCCAGGTAACCACATCACAAAGCGAGGAGATCTGTGGGCAAAGCTGTGCCCATAACCAACATGGCGGCCGCAGAGCACGTCGGACGCAGACCTTGACTCATAAGCTGCGACTACATCCGGTTTCCGGTGCGCGTGTTCTCTCTTTCCTCTCCGGCTCCAGCTGCAAGTGTGAACATGGCATCTCGCAGGGAACCCAGCACTACGGCCGCTGCCGCCGCTGATATCCCGGTGAAACAAGTCCAGATAGACGGCCTGGTGAGTCCGGGGAAGGGGAGCCCAAGGGGCGAGACTGGCACAGCACAGTAGTCGCCCAACTCCGGCTTATATATGTTTATGGTGGTTGTTTTTGGGTAGATGAAGTGTTATTGTGGAGGTGTAGGCCTTTGGTGTTTGTGTGTGGAGGTCTGTGTGTGTTTGTGGGAGGTGTAGGCCTGGGTTTGTGTGTGGAGGTGTAGGCCTGGGTTTGTGTGTGGAGGTCTGGTGTAGGCCTGGGTTTGATGTATCAGCTACACGGGGGAGTATACAATGTGACCGCGACCCATGTAACCATAACACATCAATGGCGTGTAATGTGTAACGTGCTCATGTTTATGTACTGCATTTAAAAGTGTGTGTGCCCTCATTGTGGTGGCTGGAATGCGCCTTTTATTGTGGCGTCCGGAGACCATGTCTGCATCGTAGTTTTTTCCCACTAATGTACATTACGGAAAATACTTTGCTTGGAATCGCCTCTGCTCACGTTGGTAACACATGTATGGGTGCATTCTTTAAAATGTAAACATTTTTCTTTTTAAACCCCTTGCCTACCGGGCACTTATACCCCCTTCCTGCCCAGTTCAGCTTTCAGCGCTGTCACACTTTGACAATTGCGTGGTCATGCAACATTGTACCCATATGAAATTTTTATCCTTTTTTTGTGACAGAGCTTTATTTTGGTGGTATTTAATCACCTCTGGGTTTTTTATTTTTTCTTAAACCAAAAACCACTGAAAATTTTAAAAAGATTTTTCTTAGTTTTTGTTATAAAATTTTGTAAATAAGTGATTTTTCTCCTTCACTGATATGCACTGATCAGGAGGCACTGATGGGCATTGACAGGCATCACTGATGGGCACTGATACATGGCACTGACGGGCGACACTAAAAAGGTAGCTCAGATGGGCACTGATGTGTGGCATTGATGTGCACTGGTAGGCACTGATATGTGGCACTGATGGGCACTGGCACAAGTATCTGATGGACACTGACAGGTGGCGCTGCTGGGGGCTACACTGATCATCAGGGCAAACTAATCATCAGTGCCCTGATGGTCGGTGTACATGTCCCCTCTGCGGAAAGCCGATTACCGGCTCTCCTCTCGAGCTGTCAGTGTGACAGCTTGTGAGGAGAGAAATGCAGATAACCGGCATTTCCCTGTTTACATGTGATCAGCTGTGATTGGACACAGCTGATCACATGACCGAGCCGACATCTTTGGCTCTTTCCGTGATCGGTGATCCACTGTGTCGCACAGGGACAGCGCACCACCGAACGCCGCGCTCCCTGAGCTGCGCATGCGCGGTGTGAATGGGAGGACGTCATATGATGTCCTCCCAGAACGAGAGAACCACCTTGTGTCCGTCATATTACTATGTGGCGGGCGTGAGGTGGTTAAAAAGATGTATGCGTGTAAAGATGAGTGGAGGCAGTTTTATACGCGTAGAGTTGCACACAATTTTATTTATTTTTATTTTTTTTTTATGTATTGCTGGTACTTATATAGCACTGTTAATTTACACAGTGCTTTACATATATATTGTACATTCACATCAGTCCCTAACCCTCAAAAGGCGTACAATCTAAGGTCCCTAACTTACATTCATACATACACATACTAGGGCCATTTACCTACCAGCATGTCTTTGGAGAGTGGGAAGAAACCAGAGTACCCAGAGGAAATCAAGATAGGAACAGGGAGAACATGCAAACTCCAGGCAGGTGGCGATATGGTTGGGATTGGAACCAATGACCACCCTTAGCACTGCCAGGCATAAGTGCTAACCTCTTAGCCATTTTTTTTTTCTTAATGTAATGTACGTTGAGGCAGCGTGGGTGTTGTTGGGTGCCGCAATAATAAGTGTATTTTGCTCTGTATGGCTTTATGCCCTACGCTACAACTGTGTGCAAAAGCCCAGAGGGTATGGGGGGGGGGGGGGGGGGGGGGGGGGGGGGGGGGGGGGGAGGTTTATCTTCCTCTTTAGTGGCAGTGGCTAGGAGGGGAACACCTGCTGCAGCCATGATTTATAGGCCTCATGCACACTGGATGTTTTTAATGCTGCTCTTGGGGGCATCTGGCACGGTCTTTTTTTTTACCTTCCTCTAAATTAATCACTTGCCCTCCAGAGGATTTACCCCCCCCCCCCTTCCAGACCAGGCCATCTTTTGCGTTACGGCGCTGTTTAACCTCCCTGGCGGTATGATTATTTCAGATTTTTGGTGCTGAAAGCGGTACCATTTTTTTTGCATGGAAATATGTATTTTTTTTATTGTAGGCTGTAATTTTTAGGAAAAACTCACTGAAATCTGTCCGAACAAGAGTCTAGTAAACATCCCGGGTATGATAAAATTTGAAACACAAAATCATAAATTATAATTTAATAAATAATCATAAAAAATAATAAAAAATTTAATTCAATAATATAATCAAACCAAAAACACTGAAATGTGAAATAGAGCGCCAAGTTCGCACATTGCTGAGCTCAGTCGCAAAATCGTTTTCAGTTTCTGATGACGAATTTCCCCCACGAATCATTATCACTCAATTCTGTAAGTGGTTCTGATTTACTATCGCTGTTCTCTAGCTGATCTAAACCGCTTTTGACCTAAAGGGACACTTTTTGGACGCCATGGACATTTCTCAGTTTCCAGGCAGCAAGAACAGACAAAATGCAGGCAGGGCGCAGGACAAAGCACTAGGGACAATATGTATGTGAAATAGGTTGAAACAGCAATGTTTTACTGTGTAAAATGAAAAAAAAAAAATGACATTTTTTAAAATTTTTAAATTTCCCGCCGCCGGCGGCGGCGGCGCCCGTACGTCCCGACGTCACGGACAGGACACAGAAGCCGGATGCCGGCATCGGCCGGAGGAGATGGCCGGGGACGCTGCAGGGGACACATCGTGGGAGCGCAGGGTAAGGTAAGTGAAGAACACATGCCGGAGCAGCGCCGTATGGTATTCCCAAGTGTAGCTCGGGTTTACCGCTTTTGGTACTGAAATGTTACCCCGAGCTACACTCGGGAATACCGCCAGGGAGGTTAACTGACAATTGCACAGTCATGCAACGCTGCACCCAAATGAAATGTACGTTTTTTTTTTTCCCACGAATTGAGCTTTCTTTTGGTGGTATTTGATCACCTGTGCGTTTTTTGTTTGCGCTATACAAAAAAAAAAAGACCGACAATTTTGAGGAAAAAAAACTATTTTTGCCTTTTTGCTATAAAACATGTCCAGTAAAAAATTAAAAAAAAATCTAATTTCATCATAAATTTAGTCCAAAATGTATTCTGATACATGTCTTTGCTAAAATAAAAAAAAAAAAAAATCCCAATATGTGTAAATGAAATGGTTTCCATGAAAGTTATAGCGTTAACAAATGTATTTTCCAAATCTGAAAGTTGCTCTCCAAGACTTAGACTGGGAGGGAATATTGACATCGATGAATGCAACACCGAAATGGGAGTTCTTCAAAAAGACTGTATGTGAACACACTGCAATATATATTCCCATGGACAACACGTTTAAAAGGCTAAAAATCAAACCTATGTGGCTTATGGCCAAAGTTAAAAAAGCTATAAAATAATAATAAGAAAAGAGCTTTTATTAAATATAAAAATAAACACTATCATCGTTTAAACATTACAAAGAATATAACAGAATATGCAGAAAGTTAATAAAGGCCGCAAAAATTGAAAATGAATGACAGATTGCAAAAGATAGGACCAACCCCAAAAAAATCTTCATATATATTAATAGTAAAAAGGTCTGGTCCAAGCATGTAGGCCCTTTACAAATTAATCTAGAGTGGGTGACTGGGGACAAAGAAGGCACATTTTTTTTTAATACCTTCTTCAGCTCAGTGTATACAAAGGAGCATGGGGGAGCTCTTGTCCACAATGGGCATGGTATGGACACAGCTCCAGATGATCCACATTGGCTCACAATTGATATGATCCAAAAATATTTAGACAGAATAAAGGTGAATAAAGCCCCTGGACCGGATAGCATACACCCACGGGTCCTTAAAGAGTTGAGCTCTGTCATTTCAAAGCCATTGTTTCTAATTTTTAGGGACTCTTTAATGACTGGCATAGTACCACTGGATTGGCGTGAGGCCAATATTTAAAAGGGGGTCAAAATCTTTACCAAGTAATTATAGACCTTTTTAATTTCTATAGTTGGGAAGATACTGGAGAGTTTAATAAAAGACCATATAGATGAGTTCTTGCTGGAAAAAAATATTTTATGCAACTGACAGCATGGATTCATGAAAGACATAAGTTGTCAAACAAATCTGGTTTCTTTTAATGAAGGGGTGAGCATAACCTTGGACAGAGGGGTGGTGGTGGACGTGTTATACCGTATTGCGCGCTCCATAAGACGCACCTGACTATAAGACGCATCTAGATTTTAGAGGCGGACAACAAGAAAAAAAAGTATTCTGAACCAATGGACTGCGGACACAGTACAGGAGATGACCAGAGACTGCAGACACAGTACAGGGAAAATACCAGGGACATAGTACAGATGACCAGAGACTGCAGACAGTGCAGGGGATGACCAGAGATTGCGGACCTTTGGGGAGGGGGAGCGGGTACCCGAATTTGACAGGTACCCGTTCCCACTTCCGCGGAGTTGTCCTGTTCTCTCTTCTTCCCGCCCCGGCTTCTGTGACTGCCGGGTGCCCACTGCGCATGCGCGAGAAGTGCTGTGCTTTGTGAATGGCCCGGTGCCTTCTGGGACCTGTCATGTGTCCCAGAAGACGCTGGACCATTCACAAAGCGTAGTGCTTCTCGCACATGCGCAGTGAGCACCAGGCTGTCACAGAAGCCGGCGCGGGAAGACTACAGCGCTGGAGCGAGGAACAGGTAAGGTCCTACAGGAGAGAAGAGCTGAGCAGCCGGCCCGATATTCTGACATGGTGGTGGCAGAGATACCGGACCGGCCGCTTTTATATTTGCTCCATAAGATGCATTGACATTTTCCCCCCCCCCTTTTTTGGGGAAAAAAAGTGCGTCTTATGGCGCGAAAAATACGGTACTTGGATTTTGCAAAAGCATTTGACACAGTTCCCCACACACAGCTAATGTGTGGGGTAAAGTCTACAGGCTTGTAAAACCCGTATCTAAATCAATAGAAAACTGGCTAAAAGATCGTATTCAGAGAGTAGCGGTTAATGATTCATACTCTGAATGGTCTGGGGTTGTCAGTGGTGTACCCCAAGGTTCAGTGTTGGGATCCTTTTTAATATATTTATAAACTATATAGGGTCTGGGATTATAAATCCCATTTCCGTCTTTAAGAAAAAAATATAAATGATAATAGCGCCAAAGGTGTTCACATGTAATCAACACAAGCAGCTAAACCTTACCCCTAAATAAAGGTTGCAATCATAAAACAAAAAAAAGGTAGCGCTATCAAAATTAAATATTCAAATAAAACAGTGAAAAAATGTATGACCAAAAAATGTCTTTAAGAATTTTCTTTTTTATCAGCAGTGAAAAATGTCCATCACCATAAGAACAATTTTGTGCAAATCCACCACCAACAGAAATGAATAAACTCCCTAGAGCAAATTGCCAGTTAAATTATAAACCAGCAATTACACTTGTTTTCTCTGGGAGCAATACTCTGCAGGAAGACTCAGCGGTGACCAGCTTTTCAAATCATTCCTCTCTCAGCTTGTTTATTATTATTATACAGTATTTATAAAGCGCCAGTAGTTTGCTCAGCACTGTACATTACAAAGGGGGACAGAACATGTGACAGAACAATACCAATACAATGCAAAACATGAGGGGATCGAGGGCCCTGCTCTTTCGAGCTTACAATCTAGGAGGGAGGGGATGGTGGCACAGGAGGAGATAGCTGTGGGGGATGGAGTGGTAGGAAGAGTGGAGGAGGTCGGCAAGTTAGCAGGGGGTGGGGTAGGCTTCCCTGAAGAGATGGGTTTTCAGGGTGCGCCTAAAGGAGAGAGGAGAGTAGGTGATAATCTGATGGGTTGGGGCAGGGAGTTCCAGAGGATGGGTGACACCCTGGAGAAGTCCTGGAGGCGGGCATGGGAGGAGGAGACCAGGGAACTAGAGAGAAGGAGGTCTTGTGAGGAGCGGAGTGTGCGTGCTGGGCGGTACTTGGATATTAGGTCAGTGATGTAGTTCGGGGCAGTATGGTGGACGGCTTTGTACGTTAGTGTTAGGATTTTGAATTTGATCCGTTGCGCAATCGGAAGCCAGTGGAGGGATTGGCAGAGGGGGGTGGCGGAGATGGAGCGGTTGGAAAGGTGAATGAGTCTGGCAGCCGTATTCAGGATCGACTGAAGTGGGGATAGCCAGCGGCGAGGCAGGCCAGTGAGGAGGGAGTTACAGTAGTCGAGTCGTGATATGATGAGGGAGTGGATGAGCTGTTTAGTGGTTTCTGGGGTTAGGAACGTGCAGATTTTAGCGATGTTGTGGAGGTGGAGTCTGCACGAGTTTGTTAAAGATTGGACTTGGGGTTGAAAGGATAGATTGGAGTCCAGAATTACACCAAGTACTCTGGCCTGCAGGGCGGGTTTGATGGTAGCGTTGTTGGATGTGACGGAGAAATCAATGGGGGGTGGTGTCCGGGCTGGAGGGAAGACAAGAAACTCGGTTTTGGAGAGGTTCAATTTAAGGAAGTGGAGTGACATCCAGTCTGATATGTCGCTCAGTAGGTGAGTGATTCGGGCAGAGACCAAGGGGGTGAGGTGGGGGGTTGAGAGATAGATTTGTGTGTCGTCGGCATAGAGGTGGTAGTTGAAGCCATGAGAGTGTATGAGTTGGCCAAGGGAGGAGGTATAGATGGAGAAGAGAAGGGGCCCGAGGACAGAGCCTTGAGGGACCCCAACAGAAAGGGGGAGTGAGGGGGAGGTGGTAGCATTATAGGTAACGCTGAAGGAGCGTTGTGACAGGTAGGATGAGAGCCAGGAGAGAGCAGAATCTCTGAGGCCGAGGGAGTGTAGTTTTTTGAGGAGGAGGGGGTGGTCGACTGTGTCGAAGGCCGCAGAGAGGTCAAGGAGTAGGAGCACTGAATAGTGGCCATTAGCTTTGGCGGTTAGCAGGTCGTTGGAGAGTTTGAGTAAGGCAGTTTCGGTGGAGTGTAGGGGACGGAAGCCGGACTGTAGGGGATCGAGGAGGTTGTTGTCGTTGAGGTGAGAGCATAGGCGGGTGTAGACTAGGCGCTCGAGGAGTTTAGATGTAAATGGGAGCAGGGAGATGGGTCTGAGGTTGTTCGGGTCATTGGGGTCCAGGGAGGGCTTTTTAAGTATGGAGGTGATGTGTGCATGTTTCAGAGGGGAGGGGAAAGTGCCGGAGGAGAGGGAGAGATTGAAGATGTGGGTGAGGGAGCGTAGGATGGAGGGGGAAGGAGGTCGTAGGAGTTGTGAGGGGATAGGGTCGAGGGGGCAGGTGGTGAGGCGGGCATCAGAGAGGATCTTGGAGACTTCCTCGATGGTAGTAAGGTCAAAGGTGCGGAGTGTTGGGGGAGCTTCAGTATGAGGAATTTAGGGTGGGGTGGAAGAGGAGGTCAGAGCAGTGGTGGGGCCGTGGGAGAGGGGTGATGAGGGGGTAGCTGAGTGAGGGTGAAGGGGGTTGGAGAGAGTTTGAGCAGCGACGAAGTCCCTGCGGGTTATGTCGAGGGGGAGGGGGGATAAGGGGGTAGCTGTGTGAGAGGGGACGGGTTGAGAGGGTGTGTGAGTTGCGGCAATGTCCTTGCGAATTGTGTCAATCTTGTTTTTGAAGTGATTGGCAATCTCAAGGGCAGTGAGTGAGGTGCTGGGTGGAGAGAGTAGAGAGTTAAAGGCGGAGAAGAGTCGACGAGGATTGGAGGAGAGGGCCTTGATGAGGGTCAGGAAGTAGGCTTGTTTGGCAGTATGGAGGGAGGAGGTGTAGGTGTGGAAGGCAGATTTGTAGCGGGTGAAGGCTTGTTGGGATTTGGTTTTGCGCCATAGTCGCTCCAGGGCACGACTGTGTCGTTTGAGGGTTTTGGTGTGATCAGTCTGCCAGGGCTGGAGTGGTCGGGGTCTGATGTTGTGTGTGGTTAAAGGCGCTAGTGAGTCAAGGGCTGTTGACATCGCGTTGTTGTAGGCAGTCATAGCCAAGTCAGGGCAGGACAGGGGGAGGATGCGGTCGTGGAGTTGATCAGCTGCAGAGTGGAGGGGGGCAGGGTTAAGGTTGCGAGGTTACGGCTGGTAGTAGTGTGACATTTGGAGGGGTAGGCGTTGGAGGACGAGGAGATAGAGAAGGTGATCAGGTTGTGGTCAGAGAGAGGGAAGGAGTGTTAGTGAGGTTGTGGGGAGCGCAGCGGTTGGAGAAGACGAGATCAAGGATATTACCGTCGGAGTGGGTGGCGGATTGTATGCACTGTGCAAGTGTAAAGGAGGAGGTTAAGTGGAGGAGACGGGCTGTGTCTGGGTTGTCGAGGTTGACAGGGATGTTGAAATCCCCAAGGATGATGGTGGGTAGCTCAGAGGAGAGGAAGAAGGGTAGCCAGGAGGAGAAGTCATCCAGGAAGCGGGGTATGGATCCAGGGGGCCGGTATATCACAGCAATCTTCAGGGGGGTTGGGGAGAATAGTCGGACGCAGTGGGCCTCGAAGGAGGAGAAGGATAGGGAGCGGGGGTTTGGGAGGACTCGGAAGGTGCTCTGCGGTGACAGGAGACAGACCAGCCCTACCACCTTTACGACCGTTAGGTCTGGGTGAGTGGGTCCAGGTGAGACCTCCGTAGGAGAGTGCAGCAGGGGAGGTAGAGTCAGTGGGCTGGATCCAGGTTTCCGTGATCGCTAGGAGGTTGAGGGAGCGGGAAACAAAGAGGTCGTGGATGGCGGTAAGCTTGTTGCACACCGATCGGGCGTTCAGGAGTGCACATGAAAACGGGGGGGGGGGGAGATTTTAGGGAGCAGGGGGACAGATACTAAGTTGCGGCGGTTGGAGGCGGAAGGGTGTTGTGCAGGTGAGGGAGGTGGTGGAGGGCCAGGGTTCGGTGAGATCTCCTCCTCATAACCGCGGGGGGGGACAAGGGTGAGAAAGGTGGCATGGGAGCGGGATGTGCAGGAGCGTGAGAAACCACTAGTGGAGGTATTCGGGTCAGTGGGAGAGTGGAGTAATAGGAGGAGGTGGTGGGTGCCGTAGAGGGGCGAAGGAAGCAGTGAGGACACAAAAAAATTGTTTGGGAGGAGCAGAGGGATATAGTGAATGGATTTTGGGAACGGAGGAGAGGAAAATGAGGAGGAGTGGAAGAGGCATTTTGGGGAGGTGAAGAGAGCAATAGTAGGGAGATGATAGCAGTGAGGGGGAGATGTACAAGTTTTGGGGTGGAGCAGAGGGGTAAAGAAATGAGATTTGGGAACAGAGGATAGTAATGTGATAAGGAGAAGAGGGGGCATATTATATAAAGGTACACGGAGAGGGACTCGGGTATGTAAGAGAAGTTTCCCAGGGTGTTTGCTTGCAGTCTGTCCAGCATGCAGTAGAGCTTCTTGCTGTTTATGTGTCTTCCTGCTGCTTAAGTTCTCCTGCTTTAGTTCAACTGCTGTGTTTAACTGCTTCGCATTCGTTCT